AATTGGCTGTAAATGCTGAATCAATATTATTAGCAGGTAATTTGGGCAAAAAGGGAAAAATATATACAAGATGTGTTCTTGGATAAAATAGAGAATATCAGTATAAACTTGATTATTTTGTCCTTCATAGCCCATAAATCATATAATGCTTGTCTGGAGTTATCTATCCAAGTTGGAGAAAATTCTTGTTGTTAAAGATTTTGGAGGACAGTTTTGAAAGTTTGAAACTCTAGGAGTAATGGTATATTCGTAATGTAAACCACTGAGAATCTCATGTTGTAATTATATGAAACTAAGAGAGCATCTAAAGTGTTGCCCCATTGTTGGCCTAGGAACCAGCACAGCCCCCAAAAATGTTGTATTCTCTCTCTAGATCTGTAAGAGATCTAGAAGCAGATGTCAATTGGATTTATTTAGTAAAGAAATAAGTAATGTTCACATAGCAAAGTGGATACATTTATGTCCACATTGAATACCCAATAGTGTGCAATAGTGTACAAGAAAAATTAAACAGGCAAAGTGAAGACAGTTTTAGACTTGCACACAATACTGATGTTTGAGCATTAGCATTTCTGGATGTAATTTCAAGTGTTCGTACTGCACGTATTTGCGTGTATGTATGCTCGTATTGGCACATATACAATTCCTAGGCAAAATCTATTAATATTTATGCTCAGATGCGCATTTTGGTGCGCATTTGTGCGCATCAGTGCAAAATACTGACCAGGAACACACATTTTTCTGTTTTTTCTTTACAAAAAATATGGAGTGGCGATGTGTACAGATCCATTGTAAACAATGAGCTGCACTTTAGATCAGTAAAAAAATGCTGTACTGAGCATTTTCGAGCTGCAGTATGCAAGAGGCCTTAACCTCTTCACACCGACCATATGCAAATATGCGGTCTCTCAGCGGCTGGGCCTTGACGCCAGGCGGCTGCATATTTGTGTACCATTTGTTACCAAACGTGCCAAAAGCACGTGCCCTGCGAGCTCCCAGCACATGTGTCGGCATCCCACAGAAAGGTTCTAATCTCCCCTGGCAATCGGAACATTTCTGATCATGTGACTGCCGTGATAGCCAATCATGGCGGTCACATGACCCTAAACCCAACCCTGCCTCCCAGCGTCAGAAACCCCTTAAATGGCTGAGAGGTGCCGGCATGAAGGGGTTAAACATGATCTACTTCTTTAGCAATTTAACAACAACTAAAATGAACACCTCTTTAAGTTATTTATTAGGCTATGTAAACAATGTGCAAAGTTAAGATTTTCCATAAACTTTACTAAAGCGTTCTCAAAATGCAGCAATGTAACTATGTCTAGGTATCACTTTGGGCATGCTTAGCATAACCTTGTACATCCTGGTAGTTCCATATCAGTGATGATTCATGTTTTTAATGGTTAACACTAAATGAATTAAATTCAATAAAAAAAAAAATGTTTAATTTCAAGAATTAATTAAACTTCATAAAAAAATGCATGTTTAGATCTCTGATCCATTTTAGGTCAAAATGTGATAACGGCTAACTCTTTGGAAAGCGGACTGGGAGAGACAGAGAGACAGTCAATTGTGCTGCATTTCTCATGTGTTAACAAGGAACATGCAAATAGGAGAACAAAGAGATGGGCTGAGTGATAGAGAGTTTACTCCATCAGTGCGCCTCTTCTCTTGTCATGGTCCAGTCACATTTACCTCAGTGCAGCAGATAAAAAATAGGTCTCCTGCTCTGTCAGTTAAGGCTATGCTGTGTGGCAGAGCTGTGTAAATCGCATGAATGGATGAACAGAAACAGAAAACTTTGGCAAGTAAAACAGCTCCCATATATGTATTGCATCTATTTCTTTAGCTGTTCACAGAATCAACCATCTCCTCTTATATTTTTGTACAGACCTACTGGTAAACAATACCATTATGACAAGCAATTACATTTATAGCTACATATAAGGAATTACAAAAGAATAAAAAGGCTGATGTGTTAAGGTATTCAAGTCTAAATTAACTATACTTAGAATGCTTGTGTGTAGAAGTGCAGCAAATTTGACATATTTTCTGCATTGCTGCTCTGTTGGTGGCATAAATGAAATTCAGAAGTTGACACCAATGGGAAAGCTGGTAATGTTCATAGATGACTTTTAACATATATGTGGTAGAACCTTATGTAAATCCTTTATGCACCTGTTTTATGTCAGGTTATAGATGTATTTAATGAGGCTTTTAGAGAAATTTGCTTGCACCACCTACCGAGGAAGAAAAAAACTAGAAAATAGTAGAAAAGTGTAAACTATACCTTTTATACTTTGCACTGTTCCTCAGATAACCCAAAGACCTTGAAATCTATGAGGTATATTTACTAAGGGCAAATAGACTGTGCAGTCTGCAAGTGCAGTTAATCCAGAGCTTAGTAAATGAGGTGAAACTTCACTTTTTAACCCCCAAAAAAATAAACAGCATTTTGCTTGCACATGATTGGATAATGGAAGTCAGCAGAGCTTCCCCTCATTTACCTAGGCCATTCATAGATGATTACAATCTCGGCCAGTACATTCGACCCATGTATGGGCAGACTGATTGTACCCAAATCTATCCATCGATGGACTTGGGTACAATCAGCATGATGTATTTCTAGCATGCGATTGCTGCCAGCAGCTATAGTCAATAGCAATAATCACTGGGTTCTCTGTGTTTTCCGGGCAGGAATGGCACTCTGCGCCCCCTACTGGGAGAACACAATAGCTTTGCAGTGGCAAGAAAGAAATTTGCATCATCTTCAGCCTGCCTAAGCTCTGGAGTAACTGCACTTGCAAAGTGCTCCATCAATTTGCCTTTAGTGAATGAACCCCTCAATAAATAAGGAGGAAATAGTTTATGTTATAAATGTGTGCAGGTAAGCATTTTTTTGGGGTAGCTTTTTTATTGCTGTCTGTGGGCACAATAGGGAGATTCACCTTCTATTTGTGTAATTTGTCATGTGATCATTGTCACTGAAGATTAAAGTGAGGGAAAGTCCACACTGACATGGAAAAGGAGTAGAGGGGAGAGCTTCCAATGGAGGCAGTTTTTTAAGTGACTACTATGTCAAATAGGATTTTTTTATTTAAAAAATATGTCCTCTTATTCATGATGCATGTACTAGACATATTAAAGTGAAATAAAGGGAAATATTCATGCTGGGATACTACTTTATCAAAAACTTAAAGCTGTACTCTGAACACAAATACTTTAATTTAAATATATCATTTAATAATCACAAAGGATTTAAAGTGGAGTTCAACTCAAAAGTGGAAGCTCCACTTGTTTGCCTCCTCCTCCCTTCCACTGCCATATCTGGCACCTTTTAGGGGGGAGTGGATACCTGTTTTTGACAGGTACCCGCTCCCACTTCCAGCTAAGTTTGCTGCGGCAAAGTCAGCTGGACGTTCGGCCCCCCCTCCTCCCTCCCGCAGTCTCCTGGGAACTATCACAGGTCCCAGGAGACTGCCAGACTAATTAGGACGCACAGCATGAGTCGTGCATACACAGTGGACACCAGGCTGTAAAGCCGCACGCTGTCACAGCCTGGTGCCCACAGTTGAGATACTGGCACCGTGGCGGAGAGAAGGGGAGATGGAGAGAAGAGGAGAAGGGACCGCATGGGTGAAAACATTGCTGGCTCCCGGGACCGGTAAGTGTGTGTTTATTAAAAGTCAGCAGCTACGGTTTTTGTAGCTGCTGACTTTTAATAAACTTTTAATAAACACTAAAATGGCTGGAACTCCACTTTAAATCCATTTTGTGTGCACCAAATCCCTTTACTGACCCTTGTTACCTTACAGAAGTAGCAGTGACATCATCATTGTGCAGTTCCTAACCTGTGCAGAAAGCAGAGATGTGAGAGGGACCCAGCAGGCCCACCCATTGCAGAAAACTACAGGTGGGGGTGGATACAAGACCAGTCACACTGACTGGTCTTGATTAAGGGAATTTCCAGCACAATGGATTTTTGCACAGATCAAAAAACTACACAAAGCTCATGAGCATTCAATTAATAATACATATGCCTTTTGTATTTTAGACAATATTTGATATCCCTGTGTTTATTTAAAAAAAAGTAAGTTTTTGCTTTGTTTCCACTTGTATAATGGTCTAGTTTAATATGTTCTTTTGTGAATCAGCCCATGTTTAAATTCTATTTGGTTAGACTGGCTCAGTGTCTGATTAAAGAAACTACCTGTTAGCTACGGTCTTGTCAGGTATATTAAACATACTTTGGGTTTGCAGTAAATTGGATGAGTAACAGTGTATGAGGGATTGATATATGAGGAAAGATTGATATTAGAACATTTGCATTGTTAGTGTTAGAAGTCCAGTGTTGGAGAAGTGAAATATTCCATTGATTCTGGCACACTGCCTAGTGGCTAAAAAATGAACAACCACACTTTCACTTCCAATTTTTAGTCCTGGGGAATAGAAGAATGACTACAGAGGGAATCTGAGCCGTGTTGCCTGATCAGTTGAGTAGCTGATACTCCAGAATTATTAAGTTTTAATGTCTGGAGGGAATTGTAAGTTAGAGCGTTAGTCCACATATTTTATTATTTATATGCCCATACTACATTTAATGTAGCTTTTCATGAAAGTTGGCATAAATTATTATGCTGAACACATTTACATGTACAGTATGTATACATACAATTCATCAGGATCTTAAAATGTTCTTTTCTAAGTCATCACATATTTGGAAAGCATTGATTCATTCATGACAATAAGAAGCTGATGGCCAATAACAGGGGACTTGAATAATTCTATGGCTGAACTTAATGGGTGCCTGATAAAAAATGGAGGGCTTCCATTACTGAAAATGCTAGTTGTCTGGCCAGCACTAACTTCTTTACGTTTGGAGTTGGTGATCCAGAATGCAATGCTTTTTGAATGTCTTGCCTTTCCCAGGGTTGTTAGGGTTGGATAAAGCGTGAGGTTGAGCTTCATTTTTATCTTCCCCACCCCCCAACTACTCCCCTGTAGCCTCCCTGGCGGTATTCCTGAGTGTAGCTCGGGGTAAAGTTTCAGTACCACAAGCGGTAACCCCGAGCTACACTCGGGCTTACCATGTGGCGCTGCTCCGGGATCCTGCGATCACTTACCTTGTTCTGCGCTCCCGGGATGTCCCTCCTGCAGTGTTCCCTGTAATATCTTCTGGCGGATACCAGCATCTGTCATCTGGGTTCCGTGCCCTGTGAGTGTCAGGACGTACAGGGACGGAACTGGCGGGAAATTTGAAAATGACAAAAAGTGACATTCACTAAAATCACTTAAATCACATAGTAAAACATTACTGTATCAAACCATTTCACATACATTTGTCCCTAGTACTTTGTCCTGTGCCCTGCCTGCATTTTTACTGTTCTTTCTGCCTGGAAACTGAGAAATGTCCATGGTGTCTAAAAAGTGTCCCTTTAGGTCAAAAGCAGTTTTAGACCAGCTAGAGAACAGCGATAGTAAATTAGAATCACTTGCAGAATTGAGTGATAATGATTTGTGGGGAAATTTGTCATCAGACACTGAAAACGATTCTGCGACTTTGCTCAGCGATGTGCGAACTTGGCACTTTCAGGGTTTTTGGTTTGATTACATTATTGAATTCAATTTATTATTATTATATTATTATTTTTTATGATTATTTATTAAATTATAATTTAGGATTTCGTGTTTCAAATTTTAACATACACGGGATGTTTACTAGACTCTTGCTCGGACAGATTTCAGTGAGTTATTCCTAAAAATGACAGGCCTACAATAAAAAACAACATATTTCCATGCAAAAAAATGTACCGCTTTGAGCACAGAAATATGGACATAATCAGACTGCTAGGGAGGTTAAGCTGCAAAGACATTGGATGGGGATGTACACACGCCATGGCTGCAATGCTTCATGCATGCATCATGGGGCAGCAAAAATTGGCTCTCTGTCACATTTGCAAGCAGTACCATCTGTCTTTATTGCTATCAGGAGATGTTAGTCTTCATCAATTCAATTTATTTATTTATTTTTTATTACAGGTACTTATATAGCACCATCAGTTTACTTTATTATACATTCACATAAGTCTCTGCTCTCAAGCTCTTACAAGCTAAGGTCCCTAAATCACATTCATACATACACATACTAGGGCCAATTTAGACAGGAGCAAATTAACCTACCAGCATGTCTTTTGAATGTGATAGGAAACTGGAGGAAACCCACACAGGCAAAGGGAGAACATGCAAACTCTGTGCAGGTAGTGCCATGGTTGGGATTTGAACCGACGACCCTAGCCCTAGCTCACATGTTTCAGGGGGAAAAAAAGCCCTCACTTCTACATTGGGCTTGAGCAATCAAAGTTAATAATGGGCCAGGTGGAAGTGCTACTTAGCCACTGTGCTTCCATTATTAGCTGTGGCTGCTCAAGCCTGATGAAGGAGTGAGGGTTTTTTTCCCCCTTAAACATGTTGGCTATATTTGATGTTCTTAACTATTAAATGTAAGATGAACTTTTGCACCAGATGCTCCTCAGTACATATTCTAGAAGTTACCTTCTAGAGCTCTTCTTTTCTCACTGTCAGAGAGTCAGAACCCTAGGCCAGAATAGGGTCCACAAATATTATATTTCTACCACAGATTTACTTCTTTGACAGAAAAATTACTTTGTGGTAGATCCATTGAAATCAACTTTCACGTCAGTCTATCGTTCCAGCGCTCTCACACACTGTACATGGAAGAGCACACAAATACATAAAAATCTATGCTTGTGCCCAAATTCATTATATTTCCTAAACTACACAAGATTCCATCTGTTATTTCAGCTACTGTGGAATTAAATAATAAATTGCCCCGAGTTCCGTAAAAGCTGCTATTTCTTTAGACTGCGTTGTCTCTTTTATATAACCCGCCGAAACGCTATAAAAAGTTGTCTTTAAATAGAGACTGCAGTAACTAGATTAAACTCTTAAATGAATGTTTGCTGAGTGGCAAGAAAATAAAAATAAAGAAAGTACGACAGTTGTGTTGCCAAGAACCTGTCAAATCCAGTTTTGCCAGCTGACAAATTTTATAATGTCAAAAACAGAGTACGATACAGAGGACAGACTAGATGACTAACACACTGATGGAGGCAAGGAAAACAGTGAGGAAGCTGTAATGACAGGCTAATGTGTTCAGTAAATGCACTGTGTGCATGTATATATCATCTCCCGTGCTGGGTTATCTACCACTCTTTAATGTTTTCATCAGTCATTTAATAATTACCTACTCCTACATAAGACTTGGCAAATTTAATTGTGACTGACTGTATATGGCATCTTTACATGGTTTACTAATATGAGCTTATGTCGTAATACGATTAAAGGAGGACTCCACAGAAATGTGTTTTGTTGTGGGTCAAAAAGGAACTCTGCTAAGCAGTATTTACTGAACTGATTGCATACCTGTATCTAATGCAGTTTCAGAAAAACAAGGCATATGTGTAGATTTGTGATTGCATTGAAGCCATGGGATCAATTTCTAACTTCAGTTTGTTCAGTTAAGCTTTCACAATAAAAACCTGGATGCTGATTGGTTACTATGCACAGCTGCACTAGATTCTGTGTGCAGCGGTTTCACTAAGGCTAGGTTCACATATGTGCGGGTGGTGTGGCTGCGGATCTGCATGAAAATCCGTGCAGCCGCACCACCCGCACAAAGGAATGCAGACCCGCGGGCGGGTGTCATTAGTTCTAATGGCACCTGCCCACACTGGAAAATGCAATCGTACTGGGAACCGAGGTTCCCGTGTGGGCTGCGTTTTCAGAAGAAGTGCAGGGACTTCTTCCCTGCATGTCACGGGACACCGGAGTCCATTCAAATGAATGGGCTCTCATGCCCGTGCAAAACTCAGCCGCATATATGTGAACCAGGGGTAAATCTCCCCCCAATGTTTCCCACATACATTGATTCCTTGTTTCTTCACTGCCCATCCTCAATAGTTTTTTGCTTGTCTAAATAGTTGAATGCAATGTGTAAATGTGCAGAGCAACCAGTCAACACCAAAAGTCTTCTACTTTATGCTCCATGCACACTGGGCTTAAAAGAAGCACCAGTTCCCTTGGCAGAAAAAAATGCTGATATAGAGTGTTTTTGTACACAGTTTAGGCGAGTTTAGGAGAGTTTAGTGTTTTTTTCTGCCAGAAAGCTGAAATTAAAAATGCAAACGAGATTTATTCTTGCCTCTAAACGTTGAGCTTAAAATATGCCTCTGATCGTCCTAATGTGCATGGACACATAGGATAACACTGAGTTGCTTCTACATGCAAAACTCCAAACTCCCGTACAAGCACCATTTTTAAGCCAGTGTGCATGGAGCCTTAAAGCATGACTAAAGGGAAAACTCTTTTTAGATTGGAATACAGTAATGAGGGATTATAACCACTGTTAAGTGTTGATTGTTCTTTCCCCGTTCATGAGATTCACTCTCTCTATTTGCCCTGATTACCAATATCACTGGAAATGAAAGTGAAGGTAAATCCAAAATTTTGATTTGGCACCACAAAAGGAATGGAATAGATTGGAAATCTTCCAATGGGGATACTTGATTTCATGTCAATAAGTAGGGATTTCCTTTACATTTGAAAAATATTGTCTCACTTCTTGAGTCTTTAAAACAGGAAGTGAAGGGAAATCTCCTATTTGAGCACAGATTTAAAAAAGTGGTGGTTGTAACCCCACCCTACTTTATAAAAAAAAATGGCTTTAGGTATACTTTAAAGGATAAGCATACTTTTAAACAAAGTGAATTTAACATCCTTATGCCCTCTAAGCTAAATGAGAAGAATTGGGTTTATAAAAAATAAACCTACAAGCTCAGCTCTTAACGCCAGTTCACACTACATGCATTTCAGTTGCTTTTTTCTGCATCCAAAATGCACAGAAAGTTGGTTATATGGTTGTCAGTGTCATAGTTCACATCAGTGCTTGCAGTTCCAGTGCGCTCCAGTTGCAGAAAACAAAGTAGAACATGCTGCACTTTTTTCTGCACAGAACTGTACTGCAATACGGTAAAAAACACATAAAAAACACACTGGAACTCACCAAAATGCATCAAAAACGCACCGGAATGCACATTACTCTATTTAAATAGAAAGGGGGGGGGGAATTAACTGGAATGCATAAAAACTCACTGGAACACGTCAAAAATTTATAAAAAATGCACTGAAATGCACCCAAAACACGTAAAATCATGCATGCAAAAGTGCCTCCAGAACGCATCTGGATTGCATTTCTATAGTGTGAATCGGCCCTTAGAGTGATCACATGACCCCTGATTGCTCAGTTGTTGGTCTGCGTGGAGTGGAAAGCAGTGGCTGTCAGTCATTGCTCTCCATTCTGCTTCTCCTTTAACACCTCAGTCACACCAGGTGCAATTTGCCATGCGATTTGCCATGCCATGTGAGTTGCAAATCGCATGGCAAGTCACACCCTATTGTCTGCAATTAAAGCGGTCATGTCAGTGCGATTCTTACTTGGTCGGAGCCACACCAATATCTAAAGTAGTGCATGCACTACTTCAGGTGCAACTTGCATATTCATCTGTGTCTTGCAAGTCACACCTCAAGTCGGAATGACATCCGACTTTGAAATCGTATGACTTCACTGGAAGTCGCACGATTTCAAAGTTGGATCAGTGTGACCGGGTGTAAAAATAGTGTACAGTCTATCACAGCCCTTGACACTCATTACTTTACTGAGGCATAAAGGAGTTGATTTACTAAAGGCAAATAGGCTGCACTTTGTAAAGTGCAGTTGTATTCTGCAAGTGCAGTTGCTCCAGAGCTTAGTAAATGAGGTAAAGCTTCACTTTGCAAAGAACACCCAATCATAAGGAAAATTAATTAAAAAAAACAGCATTTGTACTTGCACATGATTGGATGGTGGAGGTCAGCATATCTTCCAGTCATTTACTATGCTCTGGCACAACTGCTCTTGCAAAGTGCACGGTCTATTTTAATTTAGTAAATCATTCCCAAAGTGCGATGTATGCTTTGCCTGCTTGATGATGTGAGCTTCTGTTAACTCCCTACTCCTGACAGATTTGTCCAAATAAGAACTAAAGCTCAATTTTGCCTGGATGACAAGTGAAAGTAAATACTGTTAATTTTGTGGTGGCTGCATTAGTTTTCTTTTATAGACTTTTTTTCTCCTCTGTTTTTACCTGGTGAAACACATCTCCTGTATTAGAGTGCCTCCACTCTGGATAAGGGGGGGCACATTTGGACAGCAGCATTGTTAATTTGGGGGAATGGGCATGTTAGATGTACTAGCAGATTTACATACACTAACAAATTGAAA